TGAATAAGGGTTCCCATCTGAAAAAGATAGCAAAGCAATTTTTAGCAACTCATATTGTATTTAATATTAGTTAAAAAAATTCTGAGACTTTCCAGTTTACATGTTATTTCTTTAATCAGTTTATTATGTATTTCAACAAATGGAATGAAGAGAACTTTGGAGTTCTACTGACCCTATCTTATAAATGTGTAGCTTATGTTTTGTCACATTCATTATACTACAAAGTTAGACAAAATAGGTTTAGTTCTTTAAAATAGATGAAAATATTAACTTCTAAAATTACCATTAGTGTAGAGTAATTGTAAAATGCATATTGTTTTATCTGCTATAGTCATACATTAATCTATTCCAGATTTATGTTATATAAAAAAACTGTATATTTGTCAATTCCTATTCTATTATGTTCCTTAAATCATTTTATATGGTTTGTTATATTTGCTGAATGGTAAAATGAAATTTCAAACTTTCCTCTAAAACAGCCACTAGTTGAACATCGTAATGGCTTCATCTGTTAAAAAACCCAAAACAAACATAAAAAAACAACCTAAAAACTTCCTAATATTGAAATTACCCAGAGATGATTAAGTAGAAGTTACCTACAAAGATATAAGGTCACAGGTTAAAAAGAATATTAGCAAAAAGATTACACCTATATAATTGTATGGGAAAACAATAAAATGTGATGCAACTAAGGTCTAATATTTGCTAAATCAATAACATAATAAAGAGCATGAATTTACTTGATCTAAATCACACACCATACTCTTTTAAACTATGAGCAGAATTTCTCACTATCTCCTAATATGTTGTTTTTGTGACGGCGTTGGCCACTGATACCAGTGGTCATCAGTTGTCATAACTAGTTTCTCCTGTGATGTTGGTTTGTCTCGAAAAACAAAATATTTACTGTGCAGCAGAACTACAAATGGAATAAAAAACTAAAGCATGCCAACTTTTCCTATGAACCTTCTGATTCGAGTTAGATGATGAGCAAGTAACGAAACACTATGATCTGATCAATTGTCTTGATTACCCTAGGGTTGTGTTGCCCTTTTTGAATACTAAGCCTCATATCTGATGTGACAGTGCTTTATTATTTTTTCAGTATGGTAATAAATTACTTTTTTATTGAATAAAATGCTGAAGTGTTACTAAAAATTGATCTTTCAAAAGCTTTGATGTTACTCACCCCTGAGATATTTGAGGCTTTTAACAATTGTGAAGAAAAGATAAATGAACTAGAACTTACATTTTTAGAGCCTGATATGCTAAAAACTAAATATTTATTACAAATAATTAACCAAATAGTATTAATAGGGTGGGTGTATTTACAAGAATATTGCAATGTTTGGTTCCAAAACCCAAACTGGTAATTTGAGTACATTTTCTTTTTTTAACTCATTAAAATTTACTCTTTAGTAATTAAACCCTTGTATTTATGTCAACTGGATATTGTTTTAGGATGTTGTTTCAACCAATCTAATCTCATGAAAACAAAAAATTGGGTAAAAGGGACTCCACAGGGACTTGGATTATTATTACTATTATTATTATTATTATTGGCATTTATAAAGCGCCAACATATTCTGCAGGCTGTACAATTGTAGAAAAAGAATGTACAATCTAAACAGACCAATACAAAAGGTAAAGAGGGCCCTGACCATGAGTTGGGATCTAGCCACTAAGGCTCTACTCAAAACAATCTTACAAACAATGTAATAGCTTTTTATAGAATAGATCACTTTTAACATTTGCCATGATCTGGTGATATTCATTCTGGTAGGTGTTATAAAAAAAATAATATAAAAGTGTTTATAAAAATATATAAAAAATATGGAAAATCGTGTCTGGATGTCAATAATTTAATACTCCGACAGCATGCTATTGTTGGAGCAGAAACATTAGTTATCATATTTAATGAGCATGTTTGTCATACTGGACAGTAGGTGGAGATATTGGAAGTGAAAAGAGTTATGAAATGAAATAGTGTTTGTCCCTGTTAATGCATCCTGCTATGGGTAATTGAAACCTTGGTTCTGACAGTTTTGTTGTTTGCTGCGCTGATCTAATACATGCTGTTTAATGCCCTGAATTTGTTTTAATTCTGCTCAGGTTCCTTCTAGAAAACTTAAGTAACAGGTTATGGGCATAGGACATGTTGAAATAAACCTATATTCTGCATAATGAAAGTGATATCACTTATTTTAAAAAAAATCTAAAAATCTTTGAACTGCATCAAAATTTCCAGCAGAAAAATATAATTATATGGCAGGCATGACATGATATAAAATTTACAGTGACAATACAAATGCATGTCCAAGTGATGTTTTAACCTCTACCATTATATTTGTATTTCTAGACATAAAAATGGCTTTAAATTTATTTATTTGGTATTGGGGTTGAAATAACATAGTCTGCGTATCATGCAGATGACTATATGAGGGAGAAAACAAGTTTGGTGGCTTTCCTTTAGTACTAATGGAAGATGCACTACTAACCCTTGCGCAATTCTTGCTCATTTTCCTAAAATGTTTATATACAACAGGTTTATATAGTCAAGTGATTTTAGATTCACTTTTTCCATATCAAAGCTGCAAACAAAATTGCTGAGAAGGTGGTGGAAATGTAGGCAATTCCTTTTCTGCATTAATTTCATCTAATTGAATTGCCTGAAACCAAGTCGTTGGGTACTGTGAACTATTTGGTCTATCAGTTTCTTCCATGGCAGATTCATTTATTTATTAATGATGTGTAATTATGATGGCTTAAAAACACGGTATGAGCTCTAGTAGATTTCTATTGAAAGTTATTATTTTATAAATGTTGAGTTTCAATTAATGTTCTATTGCACTTTTAGAAGAAACAATTTTGTATACGGCAGATAAGAACCATTCGGCCCATCTAGTCTGCCCAATTTTCTAAATACTGTCATTAGTCCCTGGCCTTATCTTATAGTTAGGATAGCCTTATGCCTATCCCACGCATGCTTAAACTCCTTTACTGTGTTAACCTCTACCACTTCAGCTGGAAGGCTATTCCATGCATCCACTACCGTCTCAGCAAATTAATACTTCCTGATATTATTTTTAAACCTTTGTCCCTCTAATTTAAGACTATGTCCTCTTGCTGTGGTAGTTTTTTACACATTATAAAGCTATTAGCACTACTTGTGTTAGTATTTCTTTAAATTTTTATTTTATTTTCCCATTCTTGGTATGTGTTTTAATATATGTGGTAACCTATTTCTTAATTTAGCAGCAACATATTCTCCAACACTTTACATTTATACAAAAGAGATTTAAAATAATTATTTACATAAAAAGTAATGCTGATAGAAACAAGAAGTGAATAGGAGCCTGCACAAGCAAGCTTACAATTGGAAAATGTGTTAAAATATATATGTGTTAAAATATTAAAAGTTACTGTACAGGTTTAAAAAAATATTCACATCTTCATGGACTGTTCCTAATTAGAGTTGAGCGAACCCAAACTGCTAAATAGTACATTAGTGGGGTGCACTTCATATCTGAGAGTCAAATAGAAGCGCCAAATACTGCTATCACATTGCAGTTTTAAAACTTAAATTTTTTTGGGTGCTAAAAAGTACATTAGTGGGGTGTACTTCATATCTGAGAGTCAAATAGAAGCGCCAAATACTGCTGTCACATTGCACTTGTAAAAATTCTAATTTTCTGGGTGCTAATCTGCAAATAGTACATTTTGAGGTGTGCACTTCATATCTGAGAGTCAAATAGAAGCGTCAAATAGTGCGCTTACAGCGCAGTTGTAAACATTTGAATTGTTTTGGTGCTAATCTGCTAAATCGTACATTTTGGGCGTGCTCTTCATATCTGAGAGTCAAATCGAAGCATCTAATAGTGAGCTTACAGCGCACTTGTAAAAATTCTTATTTTCTGGGTGCTAATCTGCTAAATAGTACATTTTGGGCGTGCTCTTCATATCTAAGAGTCAAATCGAAGCATCTAATAGTGCGCTTACAGCGCAGTTGTAAACATTCTTATTTTCTGGTTGCTTATCTGCTAAATAGTACATTTTGGGGCATGCACTTCATATCTGAGAGTCAAATAGAAGAGTCTAATAGTGTGCTTACAGCGCAGTTCTAAACATTCTAATTTTCTGGGTGCTAATTTGCTAAATAGTACATTTTGGGGCGTGCACTTCATATCTGAGAGTCAAATAGAAGCGTCTAATAGTAAGTTACAGAGCAGTTGTAAAGCAGTTTGGAGGAAGAGGCACAGGCTGCACAGAGGCACCAGCACAGCATAAGAGGGAGCAGGGTGCAAAAGCGGAGCGGCTGTCCCCTAGCGCTCATCGGCATGTGTTATCTATAGAATTCCCACAGTTATCCAAGTAACAGTTGAAGCGATAAAAAGAACCGTAACAGATTTAACAAGCCATTCGCAGTTTCGCAGTTTCGCAGTCCGGTGATCGGGACCCAGACACTGTCTGGGCAGCGGTCGGACGACCGGGACCCAGTATGCCTGATGTAGAAGTTAGGAGTCACAGCTTGGAATGGATTAGCAGGGTCTGGTGCAGGGTAACCGCACGTCCCCTGGTGTTGAGCATCAGCGTTTGTGCGGCCACATACCAGGATGCAGCTTCAGTAAAAAGAGTACTGGTTACCAGAAGCCATCACCAGACTGATCTGTAACTTGGATCAGGATGTGACATTCACTGTAGCGGTTGTGCGCGCTTTCAGCGTTCTCACCCTACTGCTGCTAGCCTGTCTGCGATGCAGCGTAACTTAGGCCTTCCCACTCACTGCCTCATATGCGACGTGCCCACAAGGTGGAACTCCACCTTGCATATGCTGGAGAGACTGTTTGAGCAGCAGCAGGCGATAGTGGAGTTTCAGCTGCAGCACGCATGGGTCAGTGGCTCTGCACCAGACTTCCCTCCAATTGATCAGAGTTAAAGGATTTCAAGTGGACTCATTACAATTACAGGGCCTCTAAAGAGTCCTGTATTGTTATTTGTCGTCACTACCTTCCCGCATCAGCAGTAGGTCATTTGCGCGCCTAATGCCTTCCTTGCATGTGGCAGCCATTTGTCAGGGTCCCTGTATGGAATCGAACCCTGATTCCCCGTTACCCATGGTCACCATGGTAGGCGCAGTCAATGGCATGGAAAGTTGATATGGATTGACATACGAATGCGTCGTCGCCTTCTCGTTGTGGAGCACATTGAAAAAGTGCTCTAGCATGACGAGCTGGGTGATCTCCTCTGGGAACTTGGCTTGATGGGAGTTGAGCCAGTTCTGGGTGGCCCTTGTGATGCCACTGTGTATACACAGATATATCAGAACTGCTGCAGAAAGTGCGGTCCATCTGTGCGTGCTTTTGGCGTTCTCACCCTGCTGCTGCTCACCTGTCTGTGCTGCAGCATAACTTCGGCCTTTTCCGCTCACCGCCTCATGAGACTGTGCGAGCAGCAGCAGGCGATAGTGGAGTTTCAGATGCAGCACGCACTGGTCAGTCACTCTGCGGAACAGTTTTCTTTTTTATATGTCCCAATATTTTGAGGGCTACCCCAATAAAAAAAAAAAAAATATATATATAGATATAAACAGTGTTGGCTACCTCCTCCTCCTCCACCGCCGCTTCCACCTACACCGCCACGGTCACCGCCTCCTCAACCTATGGGTCACTTAGTATAAACTATGTACACAATAGCAGAGGCTTGTGAAGGCCTTTTCTCTATGCATCAGGAGTTGAGCATTTCTCCATGCATCAGGACTGCAAGAAATGCACTGCAGGCTGCAAATGTTTCTTTTTTTATATGTCCTAATATTTTGGGGCTACCCCAATTAAAAAAAAAACAAAAAAAACTGTGTTGGCTACCTCCTCCTCCTCCACCACCGCTTCCACTTCCACCGCCACAGTCACCGCCTCCTCAACCTACGGGTCACTTAGTATAAACTATGTACACAATAGCAGAGGCTTGTGAAGGCCTTTTCTCCATGCATCAGGAGTTGAGCTCAGTTTGAACAATGAAAGAGAATACCCTGCACTCCAACTCTCTTTCAAATGGATAATTCTGTTGATCCTCCTGACAGCCATGCTTTAGATTTTGATTTATGTTCTTACAAAGCTAAAATCAAAGATTCCATCTAGTGCTATTTTATGGCTCAGCTGTATTTTTAATTTTTATGTTATTTTAAGTGATTTCCCTATCCACATTTGTTTGCAGGGCACTTGTCCTACTCTTACCCCTATTTTACTTCCTTTTACAGCCCTCTAGCCCTTTCCAGGACTTTTTTAGAGGCATTTTTGTGGCCAAAAGTTCGGGTCCCCATTGACTTCAATGAGGTTTGGGTTCGGAGTCAAGTTCGGGGTCAGGTTCGACCAAACCCGCCGAACCCGGACATCCATGTGTCCGCTTAACTCTATTCCTAATCTCTGCGTAATGAATAGGTCCTTTGCAAGTCCTCCATTGAAGTATGTTGTGAAATTGCGATTCAGTAAGCAGAATAAACCCTTATTCTGCTAAGAGATTCCTACTCTCAACATGTCCATTTTGCCCACATAGAAGGATGTACTCTATACTGTATCTAACACTGTTGAAAGCAAAGGAAACATATTATTGCTCAGTGCTGAATTGAATAATCAAGAGTCAATTGTATTTTCAAAAAGCAAACCATTGTTTTGTAGTAAATAAAGAAACTGAATATAATTTTGCATTTCAGCATTGTTTTCTTCGTTTTCTGTGTGTGTAGCTGGTAAAGTTCCCACCGAAGGGCTTCTACTGTTTATTTTCCAACCAGTTTTGAAATAACTCAGAGCAGAACCGTGGAGGTGAATTACTAAACTTCATGACAATCAATTTGTTCTTGAATTAGTTACCATTTAAATCCAATTGTTCCTATAATTTTACATCAATGATGTGCAAAAAGCTTAAGCAAATTTGGCACTAATGATTAAATAAATGATGTCTTTATTTTCTTTAAAAAAAAAAAAAAAATAACATAGCTTCCCTGTCTTTTCTCACCAATCTGTCTCTCTGGTGTTCTCTTCCCACGTTATCTCTTTCTCCCTCTCCTGGGTCACCTTTGCACTCAAGTTTCTTTCCTCCCTGATATTGTCAAAATAATTAATAAAAGGCACATATATTCCCCTAGACATCGTTTGCATTGCTAACTCCTACCTACAGGCAACAATTTCCATATATGTGTCAATTAAAGGGACACTAAAGGCATCTCAATGAAGTGGTCTGGGTGCGGTAGGCCTGTTGTGTCAGCCCTGCAATATAAAATATTGCCATTAAGTAGATACGGCTATGTTTTGATTGCAGGGTTACACACACCTTTAGTGTCTGTTTTCTTGACAGACCAGATACTGGAGGCGCTTCTGTACTCGTAACCATGTTTGAATCGGTTATGTGACATTAGGCGTTGAGCATCATTAAATGCTGATCTTAGGGATTTCTGCGAGAAATATTTAATTGAATAAGTGCTGCACATACACTTCTCATCCCCAGTGCTTCAATATGAGAAGCATTGGATTTGACAAGAAGTCAAAGAAGTGATACTTGCTGAAAGACATCACAGGAGGAGGAATGGGCAGCAAAGCGAATGAGTCACAGAGCTTGGAAAAAGGTAAGTAAAGCCCTTTTTTTGTTTTATTTTAATTTAAAGGGATCCAAGCAACTAAACAGCAAGGATAACATGTTTGTGTTCCTAAGGCTATAGTTTGTATTCCTAAGGCTAAAGCTATAGTGTTTATGTAATGCCATATCTCTCTCATTATTTTTGTATACATAAGTTAATATTTTTTTTAAGGAATTATTTTTACTCTACTTTAAAGTCTCAGATTTTAAAGACATTGTCTGACTTCTCTGTCATTTCTACATTTTGTTTTATCATCGATTTTGCTATGCTTGAAGTGTTTTCAAATTTAATTTTAGAGACCAAAAAGCATGATGATAGCAATCCATTTAAACTTTTTATATTCTGCACTGCTTATGTTAGTTCCACCTAAAGTATTCTACAGAACTTTGTTGAATTTAAAGCAATGTCCTAACTTATTTTTCAATTTAAACACAATCTTTGGTGAGTATTCAAATCAAATTTATGTATTACTGTTATTTATTTTTGTACCAGCAAGCATATAATTAAAAGTCTAAACATTAAAGACAAATTTTAGAAAACGTAGAAAATATTCAGAGAAACAATACTTTCAGGTACATTCAAGTAACAACTTTTTAAATAGCAGTTCACAAACCATCTCTGTACAGTTCTTGCATAATTAATTGTGCAAGGGATTTCTGATCTATAACTTCCTCTATCTAATTAATTTTAATATTTCACTTGTTCATGACCTGAAAGTAGTACTGTACAAAATCTTGACCAAGTAGGATTCACATGAGCAAAAATTACATGCATAACAGCACATCTTATCTGACAAGTAAGCTTATTCATGCCTTTTCAGAAATGAAAACACTTCTGAACTAGAAACCAAATCAAGTAAATTATTTGATGTGCTATCTGCAGTGCTTATCTTGCAAACAGCATAAAGATTAAAATTGGCTGAAAAGGTGTGGCACAAAAGGGAAATTCTGTCACTGTACGTACCTTTTTTGAATGGAGAGTTACTGATTGGCTTAGAGTGTCCGCTGACCACTCTAGCCAATCAGCAGCACCTCTGCCCAGCAACACTCCACGTTTCCTGAAACTTAATTTCAAAAACTGGATGCTGCCAGGCTAGTGAAGATCTGGCACTGCATGCAGGATTTGGGGATAAATTAGTCAAGAACAGTTTCACCAGTTATGGTAAGAAGTCACCCGGTGGCCTTGTGACACCATAACAACTTCATTTATATGTTAGTTGTTATGGAAACTGGAGTGTTACATGATATATGAACCCCAGTTATCCTTATTGTCTTTAGTGAGATAAGTAATGTTTCTGACCAAAAAAGACGTAAGGATTTCATTCCCCATGCAGCAGAGGTAAGGTACAAAATAGAATGCAAAAGATTAACTATTGCAAGCAATCTTTTATTTTCAGCAATACAATTATATTATTCTTTAAACATGCTATCTAATAAAACACAAACAATGCACTGTTTCTTCAAAGTATGTTTGTGTTAACATTTATTTTTAAACATTAATATTCTCAAGTGCCGTAGATAAAATGTTTGCTTTTTTATTTATATTTTTGTTCTTTATAATGGCTAATGAGTAATAACAGTGTTTTGCAATGCTTAGAATGAGAAGGGGGTTTAATGCAGCTGTGATAATGTCATCCAAAATAACTTCCCATTCAACACAAACTTGTAATTTTGGAACTAAAAGCCAAGTGTTGTTTGGAGGCAGCATGTCACTGAGTTTTTTAAGAACATTTGAATAAGGACATATGATTCAATTAACATTTAATTTCAGCAATAGAGTACTTCCAAAATATATTTTTAGCAGTTAAGCACAGTATGTTATATCACTTCTTATCTTGCAAGATCCACACTACATTTGTTTGCTAAAAACATTTTATATAATGATACCATGTTGTTTCATATTAGTATATTTTGGACTAAAGAAATTGGTTCTCTGTATAAGAATATGCATACGTGATTAAAGCTCATTACAATTGTATCCCATATATTATTAGGTCTGAAGCTGATTTGGATACAGTAATTCAGTTTAGTTTTTTAATTTTTAGTTTAATTAGCATTCATTTTAATAAGGAAATGGAACCTATAATTTCTATAATTCGCGATTGTATCAAATCATTCTACATTTGTAAACAGCAATATAGTCTATTGCAATTTAAAATCATACTTTGTGCATATGCTGCATATCACTGTTTTGCATATCCCTGTGGAAGAAAAAAGATAAAAGTTTCAGAGATACCCATGTTAAATAATGGATGTGGCATGGATTGTGCCCTTTTAAGACTGCAGTTAATTTAGAACAAAGAACAGAAGACTCAAGAGTTGTAAGAACATGTCATTCTATCACAATATTTATATTTGCAGCAGAAAAAAGACGCTTCACTTTCAAATTGCTTTATATTATGTTCTCCTTCATAGGTGGCATAGTAATGTTATTATCATGACAAGAAGGAGAATTTTAAATAGAGGTTCCCCACTGGTCTGACTCCAAGAGAATATGCGGGCATATGCCCAGTGCGCACATCTCTCTGCACCAAAATGAGACAAGGAGGAGACATGAAATAGCCAAAGGAGGGAAATCCTTAACAGTTCTCAAA